ATTTGCTTTGAGCTTTTAGAGCTCTTAAAAGCTCACAAAAAAGCTATTCGCAGAGCAACAGTCAACACATTTGGTTATATCGCAAAGGCCATTGGGTGAGTATTATTTACTTTCATTTTTAAAAAATTACTTGTTAATAAGCCTGTTGTGGTGTTGAAAAATACTTTTATGTAGAAATCTCTTGAGACATGGTTTGGGTGATACAGTTAAGAAAGCACTACATTTAACCAACCACAGACCTTCTAATATGTGGAATGTTTTCTTAAATTTTTCAATGAATTAAAGTAGGTTAGAGGTTTGAACTTTCCTTTAATTGCATTTTAGACATTTTCAGGGAGGGACACAATAACCATTTTCAGAATAATTTCAGATTTTTGTTTGCCTTTTTTTAGTGTATTGCTTAAAATACTAAGAAAGATTCTTCATCTCAGAGTCACCTTCACTCAAGTCTCATGTTAATGCTTTATGTGTTGTTTGTTTGTGTTTTGGGGGGGAAGGGACAAAGTCTCACTCTCTTGTCACCCTGGGTAGAGGGCAGTGGCATTGTCATAGCTCACAGCAACCTCAGACTCCTGGAATCAGGTGATTCTCCTGCCGCAGGTGTTTTAGTTGTATTTTCTTCTATTTTTCCCCCCCTTTTTAGTAGCACCTGGGTCTTGCTTTTTGCTCAGCCTGATCTGAGACTCCTCTGAGTTCAAGCAGTCTACCCACTTCAGTCTTCCAGAGTGTTATGATTACAGGCATGAGCTACCACACCAGGCCACCTTATGTGGTTTTTAAATGTTATTCTAACCTGGCGCAGGAGCTTATTATGCCTGTGATTCCAGTACTTGGGAGGCCAAGGAATTGGAGATCAGCTGGATAACCCAGTAAGATTCTAATATCTGGGCATGGAGGCACATGCCTATAGTCTTATCTACTGGGGAGGCTGAGGTGGGAGGAGCTCTTGAGCCCAGGGGTTCAAGGCTGCAGTAAATAGTCACTACAGAAAGTGAGACACTATACATGTAGAAGTTGGCTTATTAGGTAAGAAAATACTTTCAAGATAAATATAACAAAGTAGAATTATCAGAGCACTGCCACCTGGCCAAAAAATGGCATTACACCATTTCTCTCTTTTTTGGGTAGCAATAATGTTTCAGTGGTGATGAAGTCAAAAAATTTGCAATGAATGCCTATTGTGCACACTTTCTAGTCCCAGCATCTGTCTAAACTGTGCAATGAAAATAATTTTATGGTTGGGGGTCACCACAACATGAGGAACTGTATTAAAAGGTTGTAGCATTAGGAAGGTTGAGAACCACTGCTGTGAACTTAGAGACAACAGTTTGGGTTATTTCTTCTCACCATAGGTTGCTTATTTCTAGTTCCTTTTTTATTTTTTGCAGTTTTTGGAAGAGGCTGGGTTTGAACCCACCACCTTCGGCATATGGGGCCGGCACCATACTCCGTTGTGTCACAGGCACTGCCTAGTAATTTTTTTTTTTTTTTGGTAGAGATAGAGTCTCACTTTATTGCCCTCCGTAGAGTACCACAGCATCACACAGCTCACAGCAACCTCCAACTCCTGGGCTTAGGAGAGATTCTCTTGCCTCAGCCTCCCAAGTAGCTGGGACTACAGGCGCTCACCACAATGCCCGGCTAATTTTTTGTTGCAGTTGGCCAGGGCCAGGTTTGAATCCGCCACCCCTCAGTATGTGGGGCCCTACCCACTGAGCCACAGGTGCCACCCTCTAGTTTCTTTTTTGACAACTCCAAGAATTACTGAAACATTTCATTAAATTTCAGAAATTTTTTTTTTGAGACAGAGTCTCACTGTGTCACCCTGGGTAGAGTGGTGTGGTATCACAGCTCACAGCAACCGCCAACTCCTGGGCTTAAATAATTCTCTTGCCTCAGCCTCTGGGATTATAGGCACCCGCCACAACGCCCGGCTATGTTTTGGTTGTAGTTGTTGTCACTGTTGTTTGGATTCAAACCCTCTAGCTCTGGTGTATGTGGCTGGTGCCCTAGCTGCTAAGCTATAGGTGCCAAGCCAGTATTTCAGAAAATTTCAGAAAGACAAAGTATTTCCGAAAAATTAGAGGCTGAAAATTACATTTCAAAGTGAATTTATCTGGATTAGATTTTGTAAAAACTTTTTATAGTTTCTTTGAAGTTCTTAAATAGAAATAACTAATGCCAGTGACTTGAAAGTATGACATTTTATCACTGAGGTCCTTTATAAAATTCTATTCTTACATGTTCTTTTCCCTCCAAAAACATTTGATTTGTAATTACAACAGTTTGCTGACATGTTTGATATTTTGTTTCTTCAGCCCTCATGATGTATTGGCTACACTTTTAAACAACCTCAAAGTTCAGGAAAGACAGAACAGAGTTTGTACCACTGTAGCAATAGCTATTGTTGCAGAAATGTGTTCACCTTTCACAGTACTCCCTGCTTTAATGAATGAGTACAGAGTTCCTGAACTGAATGTTCAAAATGGAGTGTTAAAGTCACTTTCCTTCTTGTTTGAGTATATTGGTGAAATGGGAAAGGACTACATTTATGCTGTAACACCTTTACTTGAAGATGCTTTAATGGACAGGTGAGTGACTTGAACTAAATGCAAGAAAATAATTATAATCCTTCATTTTAGAACTTATTAGAATAATTATTAGATGATTTATTTGTTGTCATGTAGGTAAAGAAGAAATACCTGGATTCTTATGACACCGTAAATATAACTTAGTACCTCAACATGTGTGCTATAGTGGTTCCCAAAATTTTCCTTAAAAGCCTGGCCACCTGGTGCTCAATGAAGTAGGGCAAATCACCCTGGCTCCATAGTCCTCAATGACAGGAACCTATGCATCATAGTATAGTTGTTAATGTTTGTGACCTACAGTTAGACATGATGTCCTATGTACTAGTAAGTTGAGGTAGTAACGCCATCAAAAATCACTAAATGAGAAGAACCAATAACTTTAATTGGAAAATTTATTATTGGGGGATACTGTTTCCACTATTATGATAATTAAGTCAGACATTGCAATAAATAAAAGAATGTAAGTATGAGGTTTTTTTCTTATGCCTTTTTTTTTTTTT